ATAAAGTTTTGAGTTTGTCGGTTCTGCAACCATTCGGAAATATTTATAAAATATTCACAATAATGAATAAAAATGCATAAAGTTTTGAGTTTGTCGGTTCTGCAACCATTCGGAAATATTTATAAAATATTCACAATAATGAATAAAAATGCATAAAGTTTTGAGTTTGTCGGTTCTGCAACCATTCGGAAATATTTATAAAATATTCATAATAATGAATAAAAATGCATAAAGTTTTGAGTTTGTCGGTTCTGCAACCATTCGGAAATATTTATAAAATATTCACAATAATGAATAAAAATGCATAAAGTTTTCAGTTTGTCGTTTCTGTAACCATTCTGAAATATTTATAAAAAATTCTCAATAATGAATAAAAAATTCCCAATAATGAATAAACGTGCATAAAGTTTTCAGCTTGTAGTTTCTGAAGCTATTTTAAAATATTTATAAAAAATTCTCAGTAATGAATAAAAAATTCCCAATAATGAATAAATATGCATAAAGCTTTCAGTTTGTTGGTTCTGGAACCATTCTAAAATATTCATGAAAAATTCTCAATAATGAATAAAAAATTCACAACAATGAATAAAAAATTCACAACAATGAATAAAAAATTCACAGCAATGAATAGAAAATTCACAACAATAAAAAAAAGCTAAATTTATAAATAAATACTATTTATAACCATTCCCTCCATCATTTAAAATGTCTACGATATTTTTTTCTATTAGCAGTAATATGGGAGGAAATAGTTATACAATAATGATTTTTTTTTCTATAGTTGTATTGAAAAAGGAAATCAATATTTCATTCTCTCAGCTTATTTTGGTCGATGCAAATTTTGCATGGTTAAAAATAGCATCATTTCTAAAGACTTCAAGTATAATTTTTCAAATTGTGCCAATAGTCTTGCCTTGTAAAGTCTTCCAAAACATTTTTTGCTGAAAGAAAAATTGTTCACATAGAGTTAAATTATTTTACGGGAGTTCTTCCCACAAAGGGTGAAAATAATTTTTCTCTATATTAAAAGATCCTACAGGAGAATTTTATAAAATAGCATATCTCTTTTCAATAGCCCTCTTCCGTTTTTTTCTCCACTGAAGTACTGGAAGAGATTTTTCCGCATTTCCTACATTGTATAGATAGTGCATACTGTATTTACGTACTGCATTTACATATAGTTTGCAATCGTAATTACTTGTAGTCGTATATTTAGATTACATGTAATCACGATTACATGTAGTGATGATTACTTGTAATCACAATTACATGTAGTGATGATTACTTGTAATGGTATATATTCTTCACTTGCTATCATAATTACCCGTAATCGTTTCTTGTTGTTATTACAAGTAATCATGATTACTTAGAATCACAATTACAGTTGCAATCTAAATTATGGTGAATTGTAATCAAGATTACAAATAATTGATTACTGTGATTGATTAGTGTAATCATGAATATAGTTGTAATCAAAATTATGTGGAGTTGTAATCACGATAACAAGTAATTGATTACTGTAATCAACTTCTGTAATCGCATAATAGCTTTAATAAAAAATCTGATCAATATTAGAAGTAACTGATTACGGTAATTGAGCGTTGTAATCATAATTGCAGCTGAAATCAAAATTATGATGTGTTGCAATCATGATTACAAGTAATTGATTACTGTTATCGAAAAATATAATAGATTACGTTTTTGCTTACTCTGGTAGGTAGATATTTTCTTTAATTTTCTAACTTGCGAAGAGAATTTCGCTATTTTAAACTGAAAATATGAAAAATTCTGTGTTATTTCTTCTTTTTTTTTCTCCAGGAAACAATTTTGATTTCAAAATGCGGATTTAGCTTCTTAGTTAAAGTCCATTTTTCAGCTCAAGTGTTTGGGTTATATGAATTATAGAGAAACAATTTATTTCAATAACATTAATTAGACAAATTAGTTACTCATTTATTGTTTTGTAATATTTTACCTCGATTTTAGTAATTTAAGTGTGTTGTTTTGAACCTGTTTAGCTTTTTTTAGTGTATCTTTCAAAACTTTTTTCCAAATTTTGTAAGTTAACGTTTTTATTTTTTTCAATTGAGCATAAATGCTAGATTTTGACAATTCGGGATTCTTAAAGATCGAGTGATTCATATAATTTATTTTTATAGGTAAGTTACCAATCAACAAGTCCAACTTTGAGCAACAAAGAAAAGTATTCATACTTCTTTAGAACAGTACCATCTGACGTGAATCAGGCAAAGGCCATTGTTGAAATACTCAAGTACGATGTCAACATTTTTTTGCTTACTGAAATTATTTTCTGCTCTTTCAAATCCAGAATGTATCGAAAGTTCTTAAAAATGAATATAACTCTATTAACTCTTATTTTATAATAAATATTTAAAACAATTTTTTCAAGATATTAGGGAGATTTCGCACATTTATGTTAGCTTTCGAAAGCTCCCGTATGTAAGATTTGAAGCAACTGCGCATGCTCGTGTTTATTTCACATGCTACGTCTTCTTACGTTTCGTTGATGATATTACAAAACAAAAACAAAACTACAAACGACAAAAACAAAGCTACAAGCAAGCTGCTTATAGCTATTAAATGTTGTTTTCTGTTTAAACCTACCTTCGAACTTAAAATATGGGCACAGATTTTGAATTCGAAGAAATATATTGATGAGATATAGAACTGAATCGTGTGATATTACAACAATTTGAACGAAGAGATTGCTACGCTCAATGTAAATGTTTGTTTTGATTTTTTAGTCATAGTTAAAACGGTAATCCAGGTAGCGCTTTCAGCTTACGGATTTTCGCGAAATCTCTTATTTTCGCTTACGTTAGTTTGATATATCTTTTTACGGGCGCATGCGCAATCACTTAAAATCTTGCGTACGGAAGCGTGGCATATCAATAGTAGATTTCACAAATTTACGTGCTCCCCATTGATATGCCACAAAAAAGAAATGAAGCTAAGCATAATTATTATTTCGTGTATACTTCAAATATTATATAGAATTACAAAACTGCCCATTTTATATGCTTTTTTTTATAAATTTCTTAAAAAAGGTTATATATCTTAATGTAAAATAGTTTTCCTACCAAAGATTCAAAAGTTCATAAATGAGATAGATGTCCATGCGCTTTAAGGTGAGGTTTTTAAAATACCGTTAACATTAACCAATATTCTAAAAGCTTTAGTTGTTGTTCGTCTGCCACTTCATAAAATGTTTTGCAAAAAGCGTAGTAGTTAGCAGCCCTGGAATTTTGACATTTATGTACGACATTCTAGTCGGTGATAGCAGGTTCGTCACAACCATGAAGAAACAATAAAGAATAATTTAGTTGAAAATTTTCAAGATTATTTTAGTTTTAAGAAATAAGTTGGATTGTTTTAAGTGGTCAAAAATCCATTTAGTCAAGATAAACCATTTGTGGTTATTCGTTTACTTAGTTTAAGAATTATTATTATCTTAGTTTGTCAAAAATAAACGGGATAGTTTTTATCCCAAGACCTCCCATTTATAAGCATATTTTGGTGGATAGGAATAAGTAAATATTATCGGCTTTTTCAATCTTTCTCTGGTTGTGATCACCTAGGGTTAACACTTTTATTAAAATACTTTTCTTAAACAAATAATTTTTTTATTTATTAATATTTTCTTTGTGTTCTAGAGCTTTTCGCTGGACGTATGTATCTGTTGTTTACTCGGACACTGATTACGGGAACAAAGGGTACGAGAAACTTTTGGAAGAGGCCCGTAAAGAGATCTGCTTCAGTTCTCCGCAGAGCATAAATGTAGATCATTTTACTGATAACGATTACGATATGGTCATACAGAATCTTATGCATAGAACAAATGCACGAGGTAATAGTCTTCCTAATTAATTTTAATATTGTTGTAAATTTGTATATAATTTTGTGAATATTCTTTTGTTATGAGGCTAAATATCTCAGACAAACTAAATTAACAGTTCAATTAGAAAATTTTCAAGAAATTAGTTTAATTCTGACGTAATTTTTAGAGAAAATAACGCCTAATGCATTTCTTATGCAAAACTCGGTTTGGCGAAACTTTTGCCAACTTGGCAAAAATTTTGAAGACTTGGCGACCATTTTGGAAACAAAATGATAATTCTGAAAATTTTAAATTTCGGAGCTATGGGACTAATATTTAGAGCTATATGAGAATTGTCCTAAATCATGTCTTAGCAACAAAGCATATTTTCAAATTGCATTTAAATGCCAAATATTTTTATAATTTAGTGCAGAAAAGGGCCAAATATCTATTATTAAAACTATATTTAACTTCATCTAACTTTTTTTTAAACTAACATAAGACTATTCCTAAAGGTAAGACTCTTCATTACAAAAATATGAAAGTTTTATATCTATTCCTTTAACTCAATTTTAGAAACAGCTTTTAAAGAAATAAAGAACAATAACAAGTGTATATTTTTTTATTTTCTTTTAAATAGAAACATAAAATCATCTCAGATAACCGACTGAGTTGGCAGCTATATATTTTTGAGAGAAAAACATCATCTAGTAGCCCTTGTGACCCGGCAGCTTCTAAACAGGGTGGCCAGGGTCAAGAAAAATTTAAAACGTGGGGACAGGTATAAGGTTATCATAAATTTTATAGACAGTAATTTAACATTAGCTGTAGGAATTCAGCTGATTAGCTGTAAATTTACAAATATTTTTTGTTGATAATATTTATTTTAAACTTTTTGTTTCCTTCTCCTTTACTTACAGTTTTTAAATTTTTATGCCGAATAGCTACCTTGCTAGGGTTTATGCGCACGTGGCAAAAATTAAAAAAGTTATAATTAAAATATTAATATAGTTTTTTATGTCATTGCGTGTTTTTTTTACAACCGTCGTTGAACAGCCGACCCAATTTTTGGGTTTACGACTACTAATGTTCAACCCCGTAGACTCATTTTGAACTCAATCCAGAAGACAAGGAAACTCTTGGATCCAGTATTGGTAGAAATTTGCCTTCGTGGAGGACTTTAAGATGGAACTGGTCCGCATTTGCGTTACATGGAGAGGAAGACCACGAGAACCTCCCACGGTTAGCCTAACGGCAAGGGGACTCTAATAGGTAACGCATTCGTTTCAACGAGTGCTTGTGTCGCGTCCCAGCATTCCTTGGAAACAACTGTGCTCAGTTGCAGCTGTGCTGTCATTTTTGTGTTTTTAAAATGCTCAAAATTAACAAATGGCCCGCCACGCACAAGGTCAGACCTTGCACTGAGTGATTTTCATCTTTTCCGATATTTCAAACATCATTTTGGCGGAAACCACTACTGACGAATACGTGTTAACGGTCGTGACCGCTTGGTTAATGGAGCATGCGACAAGTTTGTATGAAGAGGGTATACTAAATCTAGTTATAAGGTATGATAAGTATTTAAACAAACTTGACAAATATTTTTTTTACTTATTTTTTAATAACCGTCGTTGAACAGGCGACCCAATTTTTTGGGTTTACAACTACTAATGTTCAACTCCATAGTCTTGTCATTTTGAACCCAGTGAAGAAGACAAGGGAATTCCTTGATCAAGTATTAGGAGAAATTTGCCTTCGTGGAGGACTTTCTGATGGAACTAACCAGCATTTGCGTTACATGGAGATGAAAGCCACGAGAACCTCCCATGGTTAGCCTGACGGCAAGGGGACACTAACCCATGATCCATCTACCACTGAGGATATTTCACGTCAGCATTGCGGATGCGGAATTCGTATCGACTGGGATTCGAACCCGGTTCGCCTCACTGGAAGGCGAAAGCTCTATCCCAATAGCCATCGCGCTTCTGACAACTATGCTGGAAAAAAAGAGAAACGTATTTAAAATCTGAAAATAAATTTGCTTCTTGAAAATTTTCTTCCGTTTTGGTTTTCAGTTTCAAACGGCCCTTACTAACAAATACAACCCATGTACATATATCGAACCGAAGGTGGCGGATATGAAAATTTAATTCGATAGTGGAAGCTAATATTAAAAAATTTCCAGCTTCATTGTAACAAAATTGATTCCAGTTTTCGGGGTGCGTATGAACCCAGCTTGCTATCTTAATGATTAAGAGTTTGATCATTACTATTACTTAGTTTTCTCCATAAAATATGTTAGAATAGGATTAATAATACTTCCGTCTTCTTCTTTCAGTTGTAGTTGTCTTCTCTGACAAGCAAACGGCCAAAAATGTAATGGCAGCTGCCCACCGGCGACGTGCATTTGACCGTTTTGTCTGGATCGGAAGTGAGGCATGGGGCGGAAGAAAATATGTTGTGGAGGGGCACGAGAAAGTGGTGGAGGGCGCAATCACCATCTCTCCTCTCCTGAAACCGCTGGCCGGATTTGATGAGCACTTTACATCCTTGACGCCGGACAACAACGCCCAGAGCGATCCTTGGTTTCCTGAGTTCTGGGAAGAATACTTTTCTTGCAAGTAAGTCGAGTAAACATTCGCAGTCATTTTCTAGTTGACGGAAATATTAAAATCTGAAACATGTTGACTATATTGGGCTATGTTGATATGTGACAGACACCTCAAATTTTCATTACTTTTTGCCTTTATATGTTTTTCCCCTTCCTATTTTGTTGATTTGTGCTATAAATGTGTTATTTGTTTCTTAATTATGTAAAGAGATAATAATCTTATTGACGAAAATGTTAAGTCCCACATCAACATGGGACTATGTTGATGTGCGACCTAGACACGTCATAGTTTCATTACTTTTCGTCTTTATATGTTTTTTTTCTTCATTTTTTGTTGATTTGTGCAGTAAATGCGTTATTTATTTCTATGTAATATTAAAAAGATAATGATCGAAATCCGTTACGCTTTTTCATCGGGGAATTATTTTCAAACAGAAGTATCATATGATTGGATCTATAAGTAACAAAGACCCTGAAATCCTCAACATAAAAGTATTAAAAATTACAGCGGTAATTTCCTGTTCAAAATACTTATTTAACTCTTTCTTTAATGATATTTTTTGATTTCTGTTTTGTTCTGTTTCGAATGCAAAGTTATTTAATATGCATCAATTTGAATTTAAGTTATTTTGACCTTTCATAAATTGTGTCACATTTTTATTAAAATGGAATTTAACAAACATAATCTCATTAAAAGTAATATCCTATTCAAAATGAATGGATTTAAAATTACTTCTTCAGTATGATGCATATTATTTCATGATAAACACATATATTTATTGATTTATAATTTTAAAGAAAAACTTAAATATTCGTCATATATTTCGTATTGTTTAAAATTAACGAAACACACCTTACTAGCTCTGTAAAACTTAGGCTGTAAATGTTTCGGAAGATTTTAGATGACAAAATTGCTGCCTCAATTTAACAGATCGTGCCTGAATCTATAAGAAATAATGACTCTTCTAAACTTTGGATCGACCAAAATGAGGAAAGGAAATTATTGACTTAAATTTAGCTTCAATGTCAGCAATTTTATCCCTTTGCTAAAATATTGCAAAATTCGTCTAAGAATGCTTTTAAAATTATAGTGGCATTTAAAAAAAGAACAAAAGCTTTTAATTTAATACTAGGAGGCTCCGCCCCCTGCTCGCTAACGCTCGCCAACCCCCGAGAATTGCTACGCAATCCTATGTGGTTCACGCCGTGAACCATGGCTCGCTGCACTCGCTCGCCAATGAACACAATGTTCTAGCACAAAGACATAGTATATTATCNAATAATTCAATATATAGAAAAATCGGTATTTTATTACTTCAATGCAAACTATTAGTTATTGTAATTATCTCATAATCCAATTAATTTGTAATTAATTGGATATTTTTTTATTTTCCAATTTATAAATTAATCAGAAAATTAATTATCAATAAATTATCAATTAATTATTAATTGATTTGCAATTACATACTCCAATTAATTTGGAAAGTTCTTTAAAAAAAAAATTTAAAAATTTGATGTACATTTTTTTTTCTAAATTAACCTAACAGGTTTTTCTGAAAAACTACAGGTATATAAAATTTTCGAAATCAATTTTGACAATAAATATGCATTATATAGTACGTGAAAGTACCACAAAATTAATTGGATTTTGAAACAATTACAATAACTAATAGTCTGCATTGAAGTAATAAAATACCGATTTTTCTATATATTGAATTATTTTTTATCTCTCACAGGACCTTCTATGGGCCGAAACGAATGTTGCCCCCTAAAATTACTCCTCATAAGGCATACATCCTACTAGATTATTTCAAAATTGGCGAGTCACATTTCCCTAGTTTCCCTTGCTAGACACGTCATAGTTTCATTACTTTTCGTCTTTATATGTTTTTTTCCCTTCATATTTTGTTGATTTGTGCAGGAAATGCGTTATTTATTTCTATGTAATATTAAAAAGATAATGATCGAAATCCGTTACGCTTTTTCATCGGGGAATTATTTTCAAACAGAAGTATCATATGATTGGATCTATAAGTAACAAAGACCCTGAAATCCTCAACATAAAAGTATTAAAAATTACAGCGGTAATTTCCTGTTCAAAATACTTATTTAACTCTTTCTTTAATGATATTTTTTGATTTCTGTTTTGTTCTGTTTCGAATGCAAAGTTATTTAATATGCATCAATTTGAATTTAAGTTATTTTGACCTTTCATAAATTGTGTCACATTTTTATTAAAATGGAATTTAACAAACATAATCTCATTAAAAGTAATATCTTATTCAAAATGAAAGGATTTAAAATTACTTCTTCAGTATGATGCATATTATTTCATGATACGAACATATATTTATTGATTTATAATTTAAAAAAACGTAAATATTCAGCATATATTTCGTGTAAAGATACTAGGGTTGTTAAAAATTAACGAAACACGCCGTAGAGCGTGTAAAACTTTGACAGCAAATGTTTCGGAAGATTTTAGATGGCAAAACTACTGCCTTAATTTAACAGATCGTGCTTAAATCAATAAGAAATAATGACTCTTCTAAACTTTGAATCGACCAAAATGAGGAAAGGAGATTATTGACTTACATTTAGCTTCGATATCAGCAATTTTATACCTTTGCCAAAAGATTGCAAAATTCGTCTAAGAATGCTTTCAAAATTATAGTGGCATTTAAAAAAAGCAATGCAAATAATGCTGTATGGTAAATTGCAAATGTTGATGCAAATGTTGTATGGTAAAAATGACAGTACTTATAAAGGCTTCAAGCATCATCTTTCTAATTGCGCCAAAAGTTTTGCCACGCAAAACCTTTCAAAGCATTTATTTGCTAAAAGAAAGATTGTTTACATAGTGCTAATATAGAAGGATTTCCATATTTTTGTCCATTTCCTGAATGTATAGCTCACATAGGTAATGAAAGCTGTAACTACAAAACAATTATTTAAAACTGCAATGAAATACTAGAATCAGCATTTCGCACTATTGCTACAGAAGGTGGCGGATANAAATGGTGGCTGGGGTTTTATACAACAACCTAGCACTTTTTTCTTCGTCTTCAACGCTTTATAATCAGATGATCTTAAATGCAAGTTTGCTACATAAATTTTGGATTTAAGTAAACTATCAATGATCTTCTAAAATATAGTAATCAGCTGCATTTCTTTATCCTAATCTTATAGGCTTCAGGATTTTGGCGAGACTCCTTACAATCAACAGTTCCATAAATGGTGCCAAGAAATGCCAGACATGAAGATATCCGAGACCAACGGGTACAGGCAAATGCCAGCCCTCCACTTCGTGAGAGACTCTGCCTATGCATTTGCGCATGCGCTCAATAACATTCACAAAACTGTCTGCAAAGGCCAACCTGGACTCTGTGAAGACATGATAACTATGGATGGCGTTACATTGAAGAAAGCCATGGAAAAAGTTCATTTCAAAGGTTTCGTGTTTTATGAATCAGTTTTCGCCCAATGAAAAATTTATTTTAATGTATTTTAACCGTTTGTGAGTCCCAGGGGGGAATTGAAAAAACACTGTCGAAGAATCCCAAACAGCGCAACCGTGCTTTCTCTAAATGACTACGAAAACACCGAGATACCGCTTCGTTTATTTTACATCGATGAATCCCAATCGAGGCAGTAGGGCACCTTGTATTTGTTAGGTAACCCGTCTTTTTCTGATTGCTCCGTCACATTCATTTCAGTTTGCAAAGCAATCGGACGTATTCTTGCGTAAGTGTTTCTCAGTGTTAATAATTGCGTGTTTCAAAATAATTCGACGAAGCTACGCAGAAAGTAAGAAAAGAATTAATCCTTAACTTTTTTAAATTTGGGGTATCCCCAAAAAGATAGAATGAATCGAAAAGGAAAATCCATGAGTATAATCACAAATCCATGGGATCATATTATTGACGACTGCATTGCTCCTGTAAAGTGCAAAAGACAACGCATTTTTGAGTACTTCAGAGGACAGTGATAACAATGAAATAAATAATTTTATTTTGTAACGTACTATTGCATTATTGAATTGTTATAATATTATTCAACCTATTGTAAAATGTACTATTTACATCAAAAGCAGCTGTATGATGTACTAGTAAATCTGAGCAAGCGACTTCAGCAATCGGCAACTCACCGTCAGTTGTCCACAATGTTCGAAATGTACTGGATTTTTTCAACATAAAATCTCAACAGCGCGATCGCGCTGCTTGGGACTCAAGCGGTTAATAGTTGCGCTAGAGAGTGTAATCATTTTAGCAATATCAACTTACATTTTATGATGCCAGTTCAATCACTGAGAAATAATGTCCCATTTTTTTTAAACAGTTCAGTTATATCTAGTGTCGTCTTTATTATATAAGGGAAAAGTATCATTTAACCATTTTCGGTGCAGGGAATGTAAAATGAAGCCATGCATCTGAGGGGTCGGAAATGCGTGTTTAAGAAAATGGACACAAAAATGCGTTTTATTTTAATGTTCAAGTCAAATTTAACAACTAAATGAGGGATTTCGTGCTTATTTTTATTTTATTATTTTACACAAAGCATTATCATTAAGGGATAATGTCTAATATTTCGGGATATATTACTGATATCATAGTATATATTACTGATTTAACTTTTCAGGTGGTCTCTTCGTATAAACAGACAGTTTGGTTGTGACAAAGTTGCTAATTTAATTTATTATCGATGAAATGTGTCATTGAGATAATTAACATATTTTTTTTAATGTTAGCACATGTTGTACTGAACATTTTAAAAACATATTCATTATGACACCCACTATGCCATACGAACATGTGAAAGACAAAAATTAAATCCACTCTCGCTTAATCAATATGATTTTTACTTATAAACATAAATACTCATTTACTTGACTATGCTGTCTTTCAGTTCTTGGGCAGTACCACTAAGTTAAATTATTTTTAAAGGTTTATTTTTCGCTTCAAAACTTATTTTTTACTGTTTCAAACCCGTGTATTCTTTTTAATTAAAGTAATTTATAACAGTTAAAGTTCGTTTTGTTTTGGAGTAAATACCCTTATGAATGAAATTCATTGGCTTGAATGATTAAAAATAGAAAATAAGTGCACAGTTTGGTTTTATCAAAGTTGCTTATTTTGATTTAATATCCATCAAATGCGGAGGCGGTTAATTACGAAAATTACCGAAGGGTAATTAGTAAAATCCATTCCGTTAATATTACGTAAAATATTCCAAAGCTTTTTTACCAAATATCAATGGTAATATTATTCCGTCAATTTTACGTAAAATTTACGTATAAAGCTTATTGACTTTACCAATTTTCCAAAAATTTACGTTTAACTGGTGAGATTTCCTTATCGTGATCTGTGACAGAATAGTCAGCGGCCCACAAGAAACTAAAAAACATCTCAGAAAGGGACCAACTGGAAAGGTATATAACTCTCAGCTACCCCCGGGCAAACATCTACATGTTTAAAATCTATTTGGCACCTTGGAGATCGTATTTGGCACGGCAGATCACGATACGGAAATATCCCCGTTTAACTTACATATCATGCTACATGTACCTCTTTATTATATTTTAGATGAGAGTGAGAAGACCTTTCGTTTCTTGCCAAGTGGGGATGCACCTCCAAGATACAGCATCATCAACTTCCAAAAGAAAAGTGATTCCAACGAATACGAGTGGCGTCCTGTTGGAACATACGCTTGTAAGATTATCACTTATTATTATTATTTTATATTATTATTATTTTAAATTGTTATTATTATTATCATTTTAAATTGTTATTATTTTAAAATAAAATACCTACATGATAAAATTTAATTAAGAAATACCAAAGATTACAAAAAGTTTAACTTTATTACATTCAATAATTAGAGAATTAGGAATGTTCAAAGAAAATCAATGATTCATTAATTTTAAACTAATTAAATGAAGTATTAAAGTACTTTTATTCGTCCTCTTAATTCTGTTGCTTGTCGTGCAAACATCATATTACTAATTCTAATGATGGTAATCAGGGATCTGTTTACAAGAAATTTGGGTCCGTTAACGGACGCTTCACAAAATATCTTTTCATAAAAACGGACCCTTCACAAAATGATTTTTCTTTTAATCGGACCCTTCAGAAATTTGTTCATCTTCATTATTGTTTTGTTAATCGAATAAACCCTTCCCAGGAAGAAAGACAGATGTAAACTAACTAAATTTTTTCTTCCGCAGACGCTTCTTCCTTTATTCGTCCGAAAAGAATATTCTGCCTTCAAATACCAAATATTTATATGTTGCATCGCTATTTTAGTAGCTGCAATTGCTCTTTATTTTTTAAAATTTAATTTTTTTTAATTATTATTTTACAGTGTTGAGCATAATCTTGTATGCCTTTACAATTTAAAAACTCCTTGAAAAAGTTTTTTTTTTTGCAATAACGGACCCTATTTGCACAAATTCTCAAAAGTGGACCCTGGTTGAAAGAATGTGACTTAACGTTTATTTTATATTCACAAAAATACGAGTAATTTTTTCACAATTTTTCAAAAACGGACTTTTCACAAAATTTCTGGACAGCCCCTGGTAATGATTTTTAAGCTATGTGTTCGTTCTGCAGAAAATAAAATGAAATAAAAACTAAAATAATAATTCTGAGTAGCCTATAACAGAGGTAATCATTTTGCGGTGTCTGTTTGACGTATTAATGTGGCCTCCGATTTTCCATAAGAATAAATATTGCAACCGTATATTGAACTTAGATGTTTCGACAAGACTGGCTGGATGTTATTTTTTGTTTATTTTTTTGTTATTTACTTATACTAGGGGGTAAATCCTGTTCGCTGCCGCTCATCAACCCCGATGATTGGTGCGTCATAGTTGCTGTTTCTTCGTAGAAAACAGTTTTCCTGCTATAGTTGAAATTTTTCACTTAACATCTATGTACTAAAAACCAATTCTGTTTGCTTACGCTTGTGCCTTAACTTCCCACGTCAAAATATTTATATTTATTAGTTTTATGAATATTTAGATCTATTGGTGAACAGAAGTAATTTTTCTAAGTAAAATTTTTTTAATAACATTTATATTGTTATAATATTATATTGTTTAAACAAATTTTATGAGTTCACTACTGAATTTAATATTTTCGCTTACCAAATAAGCGGATATATTAAATACAATTTTTGCTTGCATCTTATTGTGCGTGAAGCTGATCGTTAAGTTCCAAATCATTTTACAGATCTCTTTAACTGTAATTTATAACAGTATATTCATGTTATTTGCACAAAAATAATAATTGTAAGACGGTTAATTAGACTAGACAACCTTTCTAAATAACTTTATATTAAAATGTAGCGTAAATGTTATTATAATTAAAATTACATTATAATAATAATAAAAAAACAGCAATTCTCTTAATTTTAAACTCCTCAATTAAAAACGTAATAATAGCAGTACAGGAAAATGACTTTAAATTAGGGATACAAAAATATTTATAGAAAAACAATACCTTTATGACTTTTAATAATTTTATGATGATAACAATCAAAACAATATGGAAATAAATGAGGTAAAACTGGATCCTACCACGTGATTTTCTGGCCAATAAAAATTCACGGATAATAATGGAAAACTATGACACCATCATCATAAGATTTTTTCATTTATTTATAAACATATTGTCTTTCGAAAAAATTCTGTATTGCTTGTGAAGGAAGCAACTCATGTGTAATGGGTCTGGTTCATTTCATCGACAATCACTTCATCGACAGGCCATTTCATCGACACCACTTCATCGACAGGCGACCCTGTGTAATACTCCTTTTAAAACGTTTAACTAACAGAAACTTGGGGGGGGGGGAATAGACCAGTGGTTCTTAACTTCTTCGTACCTGAAGACCCCTATTAAAACTATGACGCACCACATGCGCTGAAAGTATTAAAAATATATATCTGCCTAGGTCTATTACACATGCTAGTAAAATATTACTTAGCGTTCGCCTCCCATTGAGGTTAACCGGTTTCGAATCCCAGCGATGACTGGTGGATACGGATTCCGCACCCGGTTCGCGCCGACTGCTGTGCTGATGGATCATGGTTAGAGTCCCAGTCAAACTAATCGTGAACGGTTTTTGTGGTTTTTCTCACCATATAATTCAAATGCGGGTTAGTTCTATCAAAAAAAGTCTTCCACGAAGGCAAAGTTTCTCCCAGTGCTTGATCCTGGAGTTCCCTTGTCTTCTGGGTTTTATTTAAAATTACATGGCGACGGCGATGAACATTAGTAGTCGTAAACCCAAAAGATTGGGTGGGCTGTCCAACGCGGGTCATAAAATCTATGTATTTATGAGGAAAAAATTATATTAATGAGTAAAATAAAATCTGGTACCAATATAGAATTCTGGCACTTTATGTAATCACGAGTCATAACTTAAACATTTTTTAAAAAGAAAAATAGAGGATTCATGCGATCCGTTTATAGAAATTAAAAACAGCGAATTTAATGCCGTTAGAAGTGAAAGTAGTAATTCACGGAGATTTTCACGGAAACACCATAAAATTTCGTCATTATCATCATGAAAATTTATAGGGGCGCTTGGGGCCGTTAACTGCCCTTTTCTCATCCATCTTGAAGTTATAACTTTAAGGTGGTACTCTATGGAAACTGGAATGTAAATTTAAGTGAAAAGAAAATTAAAATTTGTATTCTAGTTAAGGATGCGTCGCCTGCTAGAATAAAGCAGCCATTGGCCTGAACTTTATGTCTTCTTTCAAGTTTTCAATAGCAAACATTTAATGAAATCCTCCGACATCACAATTTATGGCTTTTTCAAAAACAATTTGCAATTTTGCTTTGCAATATGATGATCTATAAATCAAAATGGGTCAATATTATACCATTACCGGTTAAATGACCGTTTAAGAACTGTTGCATCGAAAATGCGCTTATCATCTTATCGTTTTTGCACATTTGACTTCATGACTTTTTCTAACAATTATATACAGTTAATATTCTATCATTATTGTGTTTTTTGTATTTTGTTTCGAATAGTACGTGTTGTATACCTATTTCTACTACAACCGGTCATTTGAACAGACGAACAATTTATTGCTTGATATGATTATCGGATCAGAAATTACGATGTCTTGCGTGTTCAACGTATTGCATTCGATGAGTTACACATTTCTGAAGTTAGTTCAATCAGAATAACTGTGAATTCAAATGTTAAGAAAGTACCTAAAATTTTAGATTGGCATTTTTGTGTCAGAAAAAGTGACAAAAACTAAATGTTTTGGTTAGTAGCTTACATTTTATTTTGATAGCTTTACTTCATTTCCAACCAAGTGTTAGTTTTTACCCAGAAAAATGTCGAAACAATCAAGACAGCACAAGTTCTTAGAAGAAAAAATATTTAATTATAAAAATAAATATAAGAATTATATTTCTTACAATTCTTATACATTCTTATAATTATAAAACTTATAGAAATAATAGTAATTAAAAGAAATATGGTTGCGGAAAATGTAGAATGGAAACACCTTGTACATGTAAAAAATGCGTTGAGCAACGAATTAAAAATTCTTATTCTTTCTGTGTGTAATACATAAAAAATTGACAATATACAATTTTGTTTAATAATTATAAAGTTTTTTTTAAGTTTATTTCCTTCCTAACATCCATATTTCATACATTCAATCAAGAAAAATAAAGTCCGGTTATTTGACCGGCTATGGTAGAAATATGTATTTATTAAGTATTGGTACATTTAGTGTTAAGATCGGGAGATGTAACATATCACACTGGAAATGTGTAAGTTAGAATGAGATGAATCATTGCGATGTATAGTAGTTTAAATGTGAGTTTCGTTTAAGAGTTTTGAAGAAGAAGAAGTTTGAGGTAGACTACTTGTGCTTCATTGATAATTGATTTGACAAGATATTTTTTATTGAATTTGCTGTTCACAACCAGACCAAAATATTTTACTCTTTTGAAAATCGGATAGTTTTGTCGAGGAGAACAGCTTGGTTTTTTTGGGAGGATGGTTTTTCTTTTATGTTGGATAGTTAGTAGTTGCGATTTCTGACCGTTAACTTTAAACCAGGATTATATTTCATTCAGCTTCTCTTGGAGTTTATTTTGAGTAATGCTTAAAAAGAAAAGAAATGTCATGCATTATTAATATCAACCGTTTTTTAATCGTTTAAAATTGTTAAAAAATCAATCACATTTTCTTAAAGATAAATACTACATTGTAATTTTCTAAAATGCTACTACAGTTTTCTAGCTTGCAAAAAATTCTTGTTTTTGCTCTATGGAATAGAAATCTTTTAATTCCGACGATTATTAACTGTTTAACTTCTAGAAAAATAGACTACGCGAGACGTTTTGAAACCCAGATAAAATAAGGTTATAGAGATCAAGTTTGACCAGCCGAAAAGCGATAGTTAGTGTTTGTGCACGACATTGAGTTTTCGAAAAATATCGCACTTTTAAATTCTTTCTCGTGAATTTAATTTCACTTTTTACTTTTAAAATAACCATAGGTCTACCGCAGTAAGAAAAGTAGAAAAATTAATTTATTTCTACAGAGTTCAGATTTGCACTTCTTTAATAATATTGAAATTATTATTTTCAAGAAAGGTTAACTATTATGTCCGTTGCAACGTTTTACTACAGTTACACCACATTTTGCTACATAAGCAAAATAAAATTAATGAATAAAAATAGTGCTTTGGACAGTTAACATAATAAAATTGAATTCGTAAACATATTCGTCAATAAGGAGAGTGGCATGGAGAGATGTCTAGAAAAGGCCCGGGCTCTCCCTGGGCTGTCACGACAATGATAATGTCGTGCCAAAAATATCTAAAATTAAAGTTCAGAAAATTTTTTTTAATTAAAAATAAAATTTTAAATAAAAATGACTAATTTAAATTAAACGTAGTTCACTTAATGATCTGGTCAATTGAATAATGAAACCTTTGTGAATTCGAAAATGCCGAAATATTAACACTTTCAAAATATTTATAGTAATTGCCAAATAACTGAGAAACATATTATTTGGAAAAATACTATAATATACGAGGATTGTTTTATAAGTAAGGGCCGTTTTGTTGTCTACACTAATAGGTGACCCATGCGTCGCAACGAGTGCTTGCGCCGTCTCCTGGCATTCCTTGGAAACAACCGTGTTCAGTTACAGTTGTGTGATTAACCTGTACGATTAGTTCTGTGTCTTTAAAATGTTCAAGTTTAACAAATCGCCCGCTGCGTATGAGGTACGGTCAGTAATGTGTTTTTAGTCGGCAAAAAAACCTGTCTTCTACATTCAGTCGCTGGCAGATTTGTACAGTTTACGAAGCTTCCTACTGGCATGCTGACAGGAAATTTTGCTACTCCATGACAATGAATCTCTCCAAAGTTTAGTCCCTAGCTTTATTGGTCTCTTTCGGGTGGGACGTTTTGGACCACTCCTTAATACAGACCAGACTTTGCGCTAAGTGATTTTCATCTTTTCCGATGTTTCAAACATCATTTTGGCGGCAATCAGTAGGTACAACAAAGATATGAAAACGGTCGTGACCTCTTGATTATAGAAGCAGGCGGTAAATTACTATGAAGAAGGTATTCTAAATCTGATTGTAAGGTTGTTTAAGAAAACTTTGCAAGCATTAAAAGAAAGGGAGCGAAACCTAAGTAGAATTAAAAAATAAATTTGCATTATGAAAATTTGCTTTCGTTTGGTTTTAATTTTCATACGGCCGTTACTTAAAAAACAACCATCGTATTTATGAGTGTTCATAAGGAAATTTTAAAAAATATTAATACATTGAAACTAACTGAGTCACTAACTACAAATTCATGGTCTTCTAAGAAAAGTGATCCTTTTATAAAGATAAGAGTTTAAATGTTTTTACCAGTTTGGTATTTGATCATCAGAGACACACTGCATGCGATGCACCGCTTAGTTGGGTCGGATATTTTCGTTTACAAGTTTGTTTTGGTCTTTCGTGCCATGCATGCTGCATCGCTTTTGACTAGAACATTACCATTGAGTTAATGGGTAAAACCCTACTACTTTCTTTGACAAAAGAACCTACCGCTGTTCTATAAAATGAGGCATGTCATGTACTTTAGAATTAAGAGGTTACCCAGTGTTTGTAACCTTTATTCTGAATCATCCTGTATATTACAAAAATTGAACGTCATTCATAATTTTCCTACTTATGTATATTTATCTTCTTACAGTGTCCGACAGAGGTTTTCCATCTCTAGATCTGGATAAAAACGCTCTTAGGTTCAAGCAGGTGGTCACGGAATTTCCGAGGTCATTTTGCAGCGCTCCCTGTCAGATGGGTCAGGCCAAGCTACAGTTGGAAGGAGATACCTGTTGCTGGCTCTGCACCAACTGTTCCACGTATCAGTATCTTCCGGATGAATATCACTGCGTAGATTGTCCACTCGGAACGATACCCAGCGTTACTAAAACTACCTGTGAAAATATTCCAGAAGCTTACCTGAGCTACAGCAGTCCGTGGGCTATTGGTACCATGGCGTTCGCTGGTATGGGCATGGTCACTACAATCTTGTTTGCTATTGAATTTTGGAAGTACAAAGATACTCCCATAATAAAAGCGTCGGGAAGGGAGCTCAGTGGATTGCTTCTACTAGGTAAACAAAACGCATTTTAATTGCTTTCAATACTTAATTCACCCCCAAAAAATGTTTTTAAATTCTAGTGTAAGGTTATTGGTGCAAGATTCAATTTTGTATCTGTTACTTTTTTTCATAAACTTTGTATAAAAATCTAATAAGACAAAATTGGAAAGCCTTGCTGATTTATCGCGTTTCTTCAAGAAATTGGAGGAATAGCTTAGACCAAAATATTTCAGATAATCCCCGTGAAAAGGCTGTAAAAGACGAAATCATGGTCTGGAAGCATTTGTTCGGATAAACGGCTTTGCGTAGGGGGCCCCGAGCTGGAGCCATACTGGAGGTCTCTTAAATTTTTGACGTTTCTCTCATTGTGGTTGTTCTTTTTTATTCCTGTTCTTGTTAATCTCATAGGAGATTGTAATTTTCCTTTGCCATTGGAAAAAAATTGATTTCCTGCCATTTTGAATACTATGGTGAGAATTAGAAATCTATCTTTATATCAGGGTTGGCAAGTTTTTGACACATGACGGTTTTTACCGGTTTATACCATGGTTTTCACCGTCATGTCAAAAACCCATAGTTTTGGTAAAACTGTATTTTTATTTGAGTTTAACTGCTTGTAATTTAAAATTAATTCATTTTAGGCAATAAAATTAGAAAAAAAAGTTGTTAAAAGATATTTAAGAACAGATTCTTGCATTTTCTCAACATGTTTATATCAAAACAGGAAAGAAGCAGACAGAAAACAGGAAGAGCTATTTGAAGTAAAATATTAGGATACTAAACAAAATTTTCAACATTTCCAGGCATCATTTTGTTTGGCATATTACATTACTGAAGAATGTCAAGTCATTCTTGACTTAGAGTTTGTTAGTAGCTACAAGTTTTGAAAGTTTTGTTTAGCTTATTTCTAATATTTAAGAAATGCCAAATTTTAAACTCTTCTTTTTAGTTCTTGAATTTATTAATAGTTCCAGGCTTTTTTGTTTGTTTGTTTATATCTAACAATTAAGAAGAGCAAAATTTTGAATCCTTTGCAAATCAAGCTATAATGATAAAAATAAGTATCACTATTTTCAATAAGTATATTTCTATATGAATGTAAATCCTTCTATAAGAATACATGTATATAGTTGCAAAATCAATAGCAATCATTTACAACATTCATTTATTCAATCATTTACAAAGGCAATTATGTTAAAATAATATATTGTCGGCTATATGCCATAAATTAAAGAAAACAGTAGGTTTTTGACAGTTTTTACCGGTAAAAACCCGGTTTTTACAACTGTCATGTCAAAAACCAATTTTTGACGGCAAAAACCCAGCCCTGCTTTATATAGTGAAGAAAAAAAAAGAATAATAATTTTATAAATGAAAATATTTTAGGGCATATGTTTTTGAAAATGTATAAAATACGGCATTCTACATAGAATAACAATTCAGTCTAAAAATGGTTAGAATCCATCTTCTAAATATGAAATAATCAATCTTTCACACATTGCCGAGGCATTCTATAAAATATCTCGGCACAATACCCGACACAATATACTGAATAAAGAAAAACATACAATGGACTTGCAATGAAATATACGATACTTAGACAAGTAAGTGTACAATAATTCACATCACTCGTACTTCGCCTAGAAAACATTTGCAGTTCTTTGGAATGCCTAATTATTCTATGCCATGACTAGGTAAAGCTTAAAAAAAATTCTGATATTTCATATTTTATCCATTAGTGCTAAGCATTCTGTACAATAACTAGATATTTTGTAGAATACCGGTGTTTCATATACTGACGGTAAGATACACAATTTTACTAATACGCTTTGTTTATAATATAAATAACATGCATAAATTAACAGTTTTGTATATTTTTGACACTCCGCATTGCATTTTAAATTCTTATAGTTTGATTATATAAATTAATTATTACAGAACAAATTAATATTGAAAATCTACCACCATTTTATTCTTTATAAAGTACCACTTTAAAGTCACTATCTACAAGATAAATAGGAAAAGGACCGTAAACGGCCTCAGGTAACAACATGATGTATTATGGAAATAGAGACGTTCTTCAAATAACTTGTTTTATTTACAATGTGAACTTTATAGACCTGAAAAACTTCATATTATTTATTACTTTATTTGTAATATTTTATGACGATTTTTGCACCACCTCGATCTTTTAATTATTATTTTTTTAAGCATTTTTTAAAATGACCAAATGGTTTTTACACATTGCTTGTATTGTCATGATGAATGGGAAATGGGCCGAGTTGCCCAATTAATAAATTCAGTTCAGTTCAGACAACGCCTCCTGTAACTGAAGGCCTCCACGCGGTTTCTTATAGGTAGTCCGATTAGACCACTATGGAGATAAATCAGTTTATGAAAGAGCCATTGAATACGAAATCTAGTAAAAAATAAGAAAGTGATAGCAATATAGTCTAAAAAATTTTTAATTTATGCATATAATTAGTTTGTTTTATTTACTTGTCTACCACCACAGATTCATTTCTCAAATATATAAGATAAATTTCTTTCATTTATTAAAGTAGAGTTTTGGTTCATGCGCACAACTAGTTCACTTATTGAATAGTCTGCCCAGACTACTTATAAAAAACCGTGTGGAGGCTTTCTGATGTAGGAGGTGCATGGTTTAGTATAGTTTGTCTAAAATAAGAACTCCCCCAGACATTCGTCTGGACCTGTGGCGGTGACTATGGTAACGATGTTTGACTATTTCAAGCAGGGGTGAACACTGTTTCGGCGAACATGTTTCTATAGCACCAGATGGCCTCAGACTTTGTAGCGGGAGGAGTTCTTAGCTTAGACAAACTATGCGGACTTAGGTTTCCAGATGTTGTCATGTTCATGTTCAGGTTCTCATGTTTGGTTACATTCATGATGATGATCAGTTTGCAACTATTTCTATAAAAAATTATTTCAATTATTTATAGGTATATTCCTTTCCTTCAGCATGACCTTCGTGATTGTTGCGAAACCGAGTCCCTGTACATGCGGAATCACGCGATTTTTCTTAGGATTTTGCTACAGTTTGTGTTATGCCGCAGTGGTCACAAAAACCAACAGAATCGCCCGCATCTTTGCTCAGAGGCGTCACAAGCCATGCCAGAAACCTCGTTACACCAGTCCTAAATCACAACTCATCATCACAGCCTTACTCGTTTCTGTTGAAGGTATGTTTCTAGAACATTTTTAGCAAAAGCTCTTCGAAATAAGAATATTTTAATATAGTGAAGGAATAATATCTCAAAAGAGAAATGTAGTTTTGCACAACTACAGTTAAAAGTCATAGATTGTTTTATTTTCTTTCAGCAACCAAGTTGATTTTTATTTTATTTTATAACCGCCGTTGAACAGCCGACAAAATTTTCAGTTTACGGCTACCTATGTTCCACTCCGCTCCCTTGTAATTTTGGACCCAATCCAGAAGACAAAAGTACTCTTGGAACAAGTATTGGGAGAAATTTTCCTTCGTGAAGGACTTTTTGATGGAACTAATCAGCATTTGTGCAGGATCAGCATTTGGAAAACTACAAAGACCAACAACGGTTAGCCTGACAGCAAGGGGACTCTTACCCATCATTCGTCTACCACTGAGGATATTTTACGTCAGCACTATAGTCGGTGTGAGCCGGGTGCGGAATTCGAATAAGCCAGCCTTCGCCGGGATTCGAACCCGGTTCACCTCATTGGGAGGCGATAGCTCTATCCCCTGTGCCACCACGGCTCATCAATTTGATTTCAAGAAATCATAATATATAATTTAAGATGCAGATTTAAATTTTTAACCCACTGACACTTCTGCACGAAAAAATTCGCATTTTAACCTGCAGTCTTCTCCGAATAGCAAAACCGGTTTTTTCAAGTTATTAGATGGGAAAATAGTGCATTGGGACAAAACATTCTCCCAATTTTTCTCATTTGCTAAACCGTCAGTGGGTTAACTATTGATTTTTTATGGTATACTTTACACATGTTTGTTTGAGAAAATCACGAAGTTCTTCATTAAGCACTGTATTAAATTTTATTACTCAGGGAATGCTGTACATGTTTTTACAAGTTTTATTTTTATCAGGATTAACATTTTTTGAGCAAGTCCTTCGCTATTAATATTTTAATACATTTTTTAAATATTGTTATTATTTTAATAAAATTCAACAATGATATATATATTTTTTAAAGTTAATTTCACTAATGCATCAAAATACTAATGTTTGTCTCATTTGTAACCATTTTTTTAAAAAAAAAAAATTTCCATGTTTTGTTAGAACCTTATGTCTAGAAAAACAAGGATGTCATCTACAAATCTTTTCTTCTGTTAAAATTTAGAAATTTTTTTCTCAAAATATTGCATGAAGATTACACAAAGTATGAGTAAGAGAGGGTTACGAAAGGTGAACTAAACGAAAGGTGATATTGAGACTTAAAACCCCTTTCATATTAAAGTTTGATAGAGTCGCGATGGCTCAAGGGACAGAGCGTTCATCTTCCAATAAGGTGAAACGGATTCGAATCCCGGCGATGCTAGTTCCGCATCCAGCTTGCAACGACCACAATGCTGACGTAAAATATCCTGAATGGTAGACATGGGTTAGAGTCCCCTTACCGTCCGGCTAACCGTGGGAGGTTCTCGTGGTTTTCCTCTCCATGCAATGCAAATGCGGGTTCGTTCCATCAAAAAGTCCTCCGCGAAGGCAAATTTCTCCCAATACTTGATCCAGGAGTTCGCTTGTCTTCTGGATTGGGTTCAAAATTGCAAGGCTACGGAGTTGAACATTAGTAGTCTTAAATCCAAAAATTGGATCGACTGTTCAACGACGATAAAATAAAATAAAGTTTTATAAAATACTGCTGTAAAATGAAGTTAAAGATAATATAATAAATACTGTTTGTTTTAGCCATTATCAACACCACCTGGTTGCTGTATGATCGTCCAGCAGTAGCTTATATGTATCCTACGAGAGAAGAAAATGTCCTGATATGCCTGGGTTCTGACACAGCCTCTTATCTGGTTGGTCTCATATACCCTTTCATTCTTATTGGGTTCTGCACAGTCTATGCATTCAAGACGCGGAAATGCCCAGATGGTTTTAATGAAGCTAGGTATGTTTTCTGCTCATTTCAACTCTACTGCGAAACAATGGCTAGCTCTGAAACAAAGTTTTAAAAAACATTTATTAAAAAAATGGGGCTTATTTATTGAGCATACAGCAGTAGCTTCAACAGATAATTCGACGATTAATTTCAGGGTAGTGACATTGGATGTTGGCTGAGTGGTAGCGTCTCCCGTCCCANGGGGGGGGGGGGGGGCTCTATCCTCGGACGGTTGACTCACCCTTTTTCTTCGGTGGGTTGATAAAATGAGTTCACAGCTGCTTGGGACTAAATAATAATTGGGATTCCATGTTCAGACCACCCATCCGGAACACCAGCTCCTGTCCACTAAAGCCCATGGTCAAGATAATTAGGGTGGGTACAGTAGACTTTGGTTCAATTTATTTTAGACTTGAAAAGGTATTGAAATTGTGTTAATGACCAATCAAACGTATTTTCTTACCTTTCTTTCCAACATATCTACTAGAGCCGAGGTGACACAAGGGATAGAGCGTTCGCGCTCCAATGAGGTGAACCGGGTTCGAATCCCAGCGATGGCTGGTCGATATGAACTCGTCATCTGGCTTGCACTAACCACAGTGTTGACTTAAAATATCCTCAGTGGTAGACAGATCATGGGCAGGGTTCTGTTTAGAAGAAATTTGGGTCCGTTAACGGACCCTTCACAAAATATTTTAACTTAAAAACGGATCCTTCACAAAATATTTTAACTTAAAAACGGACCCTTCACAAAATGATTTTTTCTTTTAATCGGACTCTTCACAAATTTGTTTATTTCATTATTATTTTGTTAATCGAATAAATCCTTTCCAGGGCAGAAAACAAGAAAGATGATGTAAACGAATTAAGTTTTGTTTTCGGCAGACGATTTTCCATTATTCGTCCGAAATTAATATTCTGCGTTCAGCAGTATAGGCTGAATACCAAACATTTGTATGTTGCATCGCTAATTCAGTAGCTGCAATTGCAGTTTATTTTTTAAAATTTAATTTTTTTAATTATAATTTTACAGAGTTGAGCATAATCTTGTATGTCTTTACAATTTAAAAACTCCTTGAAAAAAATTTTTTTTTGCAATAACGGACCCTATTAACACAAATTCATGAAAGCGGACCCTGGTTGAAAGAATGTGAGTAATTTTTTCACAATTTCACGAAAAGCGGACCTTTCACAAAATGTCTGGACAGACCCCTGATGGGTAAGAGTCCCCTTGCCATCAGGGTAACCATGGGAGGTTCTCGTGGTCTTCCTCTCCATGTAACACATATGAGGTTTAGTTCCACCACGAAGGCAAATTTCTCCCAATACTTGATCCAGAAGTTCCATTTTCTTCTTTATTAGGTTGAAAATTACAAGGCTAAGAAGTTGAACATTAGTAGTCGTCCTCTTTTTCTTTTGCTGAGAGGTCACGCACGCGCACTTAGAGTGTACAGTATTCTTCGGGCTTTGATTAGCAGTCGTAAGCCCAGAATTGGGCCGGCTGTTCAACGACGGTTATATAGTAAAATAACATATCTAATAGTGTTGAAAAATAAGGGTTTCTTAATTCTTTTAGAGCAGTGTATCCCTGCCATTTTCGTGCTATGTCCCACCAGAACAACCTACACTAACTACTGAGTTACCCCGAACTAGCTGCCCAACCTGAGTGGAGCAATTTAGATATATTGTATAAAGTTTATTTTTCATAAATAAGTCCTAAATATATATATAAGTATAATATTACATATTAAAGTGTATATAAGTCTTCATGTTTTAAAAATAGTTATTTTTTTCCACAGATATCTCACTTTCACGAACTATACGACATGCGTCATCTGGTTGGCTTTCTTGCCGCTGTTTGTTCTCAGCACCAGTAACACTATCCGCTCAGTGACCCTGAGCTCGCTTCTCAGTCTGAGTGGAGCTGTTCAGTTAGCTTGCCTCTTTATGCCAAAAGTTTATATAGCTGTCTTCAAGCCAGAGAAGAACACCAAAGACGCTGTAATGTGTCCGCACAACAGATACAGTTCTTCTTTGGCTCTACCTGCTGCTACAATGTATCAGGGAACTCCATCTAATTTACTAAATGGTGGTAAGCTTTTATTTGCCACACTAGTATCGAATCTTTTAACTGTCAAACTCTTGGAAGAAATACGTACAATACATACGAAGGTTGTATTTTAAGTTAAATATTAGTTAGGTCCAAAATCGTGGACTTTATAACAGAGCTTAGGAAACTTTTAATGTCCTGATGGACTCTCTGTTCTAGTACAACGTTAACAATCAAACCAAATGAGTACTTTTAATGCAAATCTAATTAATACCCATTATTAATGAATTATATCTTAATTATGGTGCGGTAATTTGTAATAATTAGTACTATTAGAAATATTTAGTAAAATTAATACGTACTAATTAGTTTAGAAGAGTGTTTCTTTCTTAAGTTACATAATTAGATGGTTTTTCTTGATTTTTTTGGGTTTCTTTCTAAAACCTGATAGGCACTCTGCTCTAGTGCAACGTTAACAATCAAACCAAATTATTGCCTATTACTAATCAATCCGATCTAAATTATGGTATGGTACTTTTTAATAATTAGTAAGAATCGAAATATTTAGTAAAATTAGTACGGACTAATTTGTTCAGTAAAGGGTTTTTCACAGTTGCATAATGAAAAGGGTTTTCTTATTTTTGGTTTTAAAACCTGATAGGCACTCTGTCTAGTGCAACGTTAACAATCAAACCAAATTAGTACTTATAATGCAAACCAAATTAGTACCTATTACTAATGAATCTTATCTAAATTATGGTATGGTAATTTGCAATAATTAGTTCTAATGGAAATATTTAGTAAAATTAGTACGAATTAATTAGTTTAGAAGAGTATTTTTTCATAGTTGCATAATTAGAAGAATTTTCTTGATTTTTTTGGGTTTTTTTTAAACCTGATAAACCTGATAAACAGTCTGCTCTAGTATAACGCTAACAATCAAACCAAATTAGTGCCTATTATTAATAAAACTAGTCTAAATTATGGTATAGTAATTTGTAATAATTAGTACTAATAGAAATATTTAGTAAAATTAGTACATATTAATTAGTTTACAAGAGTTTTTTCATAGTTGCATAATTAGAAGGATTTCTTGTTTTTTTAAAAATAAATATGACAATATTTTAAATTTTGGCAGGATGCAAAGACAACTATCGCAACAGTGCGTGCTCCACTTCTTCTCCGGCCTCCATACGCCACACCAATGTACAAGCTTTGAATTCCAGTAAACAACATAACTCCGATCACAACATATGTTATTCTCCTTCGCCGGTGGTGGCGCTGCAAGAGCGCTCAAAGAATATTTGTGCGTCTGTGACTGCGCAGGAATCTATAAATCCTCCTGCTTACCCAACGCTGGAACACCAGATGATGCTGTGAGGAACTTTTAATGGGTATTCTCTATGAATATTCACTAAAATAATGTGAATATTCAGTTTACGGACATGAATATTCTGTGTCAATGTTGTTTTTGATATGAATTTTTACTGTATTGATGTGAATAGTTGCCAACTTTTCCGTTTAAGCCGGAAGATCACACTGAATTCGCAAAAATTTTTTTGCTGAATTTATGCAATTGAACTTTCCTAATTCCGATTGCAGATTTGATATCGGAGATTCGGAAATATCTGAGATCTGTTCAAAAATCTCTGATTTTTATTTATAAAATGAATTTTATAAATACTACGAACTGCAAAAGGAATTATGCATAATATAACTTTTAATACGTTTTTTAAAACTGACATATGGTTGCCAACTTTATTCAAACATACTTCATCAGGGAAGCAACAAAAAAGAGGTAAAATAGTGTACCTTGGACCTTTACAATTGGCGATGAATAAATTTACCACAGCCTTTAAAAGGGTTAAAGCATTTGTCTTAAAATAAACTTTTTTTACTTTTGAACTGACAAACCATTTTCTAGAGTAACAATTAAGTTAAAGTTTAAATTTTGCTTGGCAGTGGACAAACATTAAGTACGCCAGACATGATTAAAGTATTTATTTACTTGTAAAAAAACATTTCTTAAGTTACTAACATGAATTTTAAAAACTTTTTGAATAATTTTATTCAAAAATGACGAATGAGATATAAAGTTTTAAAAAAATCGATTCATTAGTTGAGAACTCAAACTATTTTAACATGGTATGGAAGTAAGAATACCTTTAAAAATAATACCTTTATTAATATATAATTTATAATTAATATATAATTTAAAAATATTACCTTTAAAAATAATAATGTGTTATTTTTTTTGAACTAAAATATTTCAAACATAGTGTTTGCAATTTTATTCAACATCGGAGGATAATATCTCATCTATTTTTAATATTCTCATTAAGTATGATTTTATCTTTGTGTGGAGTATGAATTTATTATTGGAATAATTTGTTATTGTTTTACATTGTGTTTATGAGCATTTTTTTACCATTGTTTACGTATTTCATTTGTTACCTAATATTGTTAGGTATCTCATAGATAGGATATATTAAGTTGTTTCTGGGCTGTAACTTATGGGCCCTTTATTTATTTCTTCCTTTTTTGAGAGAGAGAGAGAGAAAGAAAACGAGAGGAGTTTTAAATATACAAAACTACAACGAAATGTAAGTTAAGTGTAAGCAGCTATTATTCGAAATATCTGTAGGCACATGAAATACTCATTTTTGCGAATAATATGATATTTTTATAACTGTTTTCAACAGTTATCCATAATCAAGTTTAACATGTTTTTAGCTAATTCTGAAATTAGCTCAAATTGTAAATATGATCAAATGTCGTTGTTTTTTGAAAGAGAAAAGCATTTGTAATCGAATCTCTTATATTTTTAAAAAGTCACTCCAACGCTCCATTATCTGTCCTCATAGCAAAAATTGAAGGATTAATTATTGTTTTTTATATTCATCTAGAAAGAAAAATCTCGCCAAGTTGGCAATTTTAAATTATTTTTCAGTTCTAAAGCTCAGATAGTGGCAAGATAGTAGATATTATTTAAAATTACAACTTTATCTGAAGTTAAAGGTACTTGAGTTGGAGGTTTTTCTTGGCCAAGGAGCTTCCAATCTGCTCTGTTAAGGCACGAAATTGTTCCCTTTTTTGAAAAAAATTAAACCGGTTTTTAAATGATGCTAGTCACCATTGGTAAGAAATATGGTAGAATATAAAAATAAATATTTTGAGAACTTTGAATTTGTATAGAACTTCGACATCTGTCTTTTCTAGGTAAGTTACAGCTTTGTTGAGTGCGCATGCATCTCACTCGTATTTTCTTATGTATGTAAATATGATAAAATTAGCCTGTTGAAATGATATCTAAAATCAGGTTTACTAACTACTATGCTGTTTGCGAAACATTTTATGGAACGGTAGAAAATTAAAAACAAAAGCTTTCAGAGTTTTTGGTGATTTCGCCAACATCTTAGGAGCCGCGCCACGAAAGTAATGGAACAAAGCGTGGAAAATAAGTTTAATGGATAAAAAAATGATACATTAAAACATAAACATAGAGCTACCTCTGGAATAAATTTTTCCCAAAAAGCGTAGAAAGTTGGCTACCTTGCTGAAATATATGATAGAATTTTGCACAGGCTGATTTATCTTTTGAATTGGATTTCGGACTAAAAAACATATTGTAAAAATTGAAAAATGTCAAGGATTCATGATAGATTTGGTTATGTAACCTCGAAATATTGTTGACGAATATATTATAACAGTGAGGTCTCATAAAGTGTTCCAAAAAAACAAACTAAATATTAAAATTTCTAAAGCTTTCTATAACTTCGGGAAAAAGCTTTAATTATTTTTTAGATTTTTAGAACGTTGATATTTTATTAACTAGCTATTATTTCAAAAAAAAATGTACATACCAACGGAAATGCTACTTCTGTTGGTGTTATGAAAAGACAGATCTATGAATTAAATTCAGCGTCTGTAAAAATGACCCCTACTGAAATAATTATGTGCAAAAGCAAATTTACCAATTAGGAATGATAAAGCTATTTTAAGTAAATGAACAATTATGTTTTTTGTTTTCGTGTGCATTTAATTTCATACCATATAAATTAGTTCGCTTTAAAAGATGAGAAGAGATTTATTGGAGAGGCTTGTCTTTTTTTCTAATTTAACTAGCAACTCCTGAAGTAAATCATTGGTGCTTCTCTAAAAATAATAAAGAAATTTTTTTCTCAAATCTAATTTTACAATCTATTTCTGATGTTACGTAAGGCTACAGTGGACTCTTTAATAAGTTTTTCTTAAAAAATATTGTTACTTTGCTGTAACTTGCAGAGATTGTTTATACTTAGAGAGAGAACATAAAAAAAAATTATTTGATATATAATTCACGCTACAACATGAAAAATTAAAATTTTTTTAAAAAATTGTCTATTTATTTTGAAGTTTAAATAAGCTTCTTGCGCTAAATTTTTCCTTAAATTCAAAGATTATTTGTTATAATTTAAACTCTATTCACATTTCTCTTCAAAGTGTAGAGAAAAAATTTACACGTTTATGAACGTTTTGGAAAATTGAAATGACTGTAAAATCTGTTGTGACACCCTATTTCGAAATTTTTTATCTACAAGTTTTTTTTAAATTAATCTAGAGAGTGTGTCAAAAAAGTTTCATGAAATAGTCATCAAAATTACAGCACATGGAACTATTTCAATTTCCAGTTCGATGCAAAATTTTTGTTTTGCATCGAAAAATTGTAATAAATAAGCTAAATAACACTAATATAGTCAAATGTTTTACAAATTCTAATGATTTTAATAATTACTATGTTTTTTATATCATTTAATTAATGTAAAATGGTCAAAATTAGAAAATCGATTTTTAGAGTGATTTTCACGATTTTTAGTGTGCACTGTAGCCTTAATGTTTCTAAGGAATGAAGTTACTAATAAAAATATTTATGTATTTAATTATTTATTATTATTACTATTGCAAATTAATTGTAACATAACTATCCTGACTTGAACCTAACTTTAGATTTCTATAAAAATTATATGGGTGAGTTGTGGTCTTTTAAGTTCACAAAGATCTATTGTATTTCATCAAATGAGTAGTATTCTAGTCTTGTACAGTGTTGTATATGTGTGCAAAATAAATGTGTTCTATACAAAGTTTATACTTTTTCATTTTTTTCAATCTTTTCTCTCCCCAAATTAATATAAAACCATGTCTGAGCTTTTTATTTTTAGCTTGATACAGGTTAAACAATTCTCACGTAAAATATAATTTCCAAATAAAACACGTTTTTTAATTAAAAATGTCAAATTTTTTCATGAAATAATCAGTGTAGTGATTGTAGCTAAAAATAAAAGTTATCAACTTAATTTAAACACAAATCTCTGACCCCCCCCCCTCCTTTTTAATCCATCCGGACAAAATATTGCGCTTAAACCCGCTTAGTAGAGAATGTATTAAAGATATTTTAATGCAGCCCAGTTTTCAAGTATAATTTTCATCGCCCCCTCACCAAAATGTATACAACAATAACGTATATTGAGTATTTTAAATTCTGTTTTTAAATTATTTTTAACTTACTGCTAAAACAGAAGTACAAGAGAGCCAACGTTGGCGAGAAAATCACATCTGGCATTTTGCCAAGCGGGCAGTGAACAGATGAAGCTTATGAAAGCGGGAAAATTTTAAATATTATATTTGAAATGAAAGCTAAACAGGGAGATTACTTTAAAAGAATAAGAAAGTAGAAAAATTCGATAATGAAAGTTAAATTAGACGGGGTGAGCTAAATTTAGAAACAGGGATTATATTTTTTCGAATAATAAAAGAAATAAAACAGAAGCATGACAAAACAAAAGAAAATAATAAAAAGAAGATATGTTTGTGGAAGGGAATCTACATGACTGATGCTGTTCCGAGCATGCGCAGAGCAAATGTTTTCTCATAGGAAGAAGGAAAATGTTCGATAAATCAAGTTTCAAATCCAGCCAGTCTCAATCGAGTCGATCCTTCTAAGTGAATGTGTATGTTATATATGTTTTCGTGTTAATTGCATTTCACCATATGAAATATTCACGGCAGCAGATTTATGCTGACTCATGGATAAATTTTTAAACGGAAGTAAGCGAGCATCAACAAATACACAGACAAGCGTGGTTCCGAAAATAAAATCAAGAAAATATTCTCAAGAATACTTGAATTTTCGGTTTACCAGTATTGAAGAAAATGACGAAGAAAGGCACCTTTGTATCATTTGCTCAAAAATATCGGCAGCGGGCAGCATGAAACCTAATAAACTTAAGCGACATTTGGAAACGCTTCATAGTGAGTACGTCAACAAACCCGGAGAATTCTTCGATTTTGTTGTTGTTGTAGTTCATTTACGTCGCACTAGAGCTGCACAATGGGCTACTGGCGACGATCTGGGAAGCATCCCTGAGGATGATCCGAAGACATGCCATCACAATTTTGATCCTCTGCAGAGAGGGATGGCACCTCCGCTTCGGTAGCCCGACGACCCGCACGCGAAGTCAAGTACTTTACGGTAGAACAGTTTAACGAGGACCAATACCACACTCCCTCTGTCCCTACGCGCACACTGACCGCACCCAGTAATGCTTGGTACTTCGGTGATCTGCTGGGAACCGTGTCTTAACAATCAATCCACTGCGGGACTAGAATTCTTCGAATTAAATTTAAAATCATATAAAAAGCAAAAATTATTTTTAAAGAAACTTTGTGAATTAAAAAAAGATTTCATTGCATCTTACAAAGTTTCATATAAAACAGCCAGTTGTAAAAAACCTCGCACCATTGGTGAAGAGCTTATTTTGCCAGCAGCAATTGAGATAGTAAAAAATAGGTTTGGAGATAACTTCTCAAAACAATTGCAGTCCATACCTCTTTCAAATGATACTGTTGCTCGTCTAACTAGTGATATAGCTGAAGATGTACAGTGTCAGCTTTTCTCGAATTTGCGTGACAAATTGTTTTTAATACAGCTTGAAGAAGCAACAAATAGTAATAAAGACGCTCATTAAATTGCCTATGTTCGAGCCTGGTTGGTAGGGCATTGGGCTCATGTCCAAGTGTTCGTGGGTTCGATACCCTCCGCCCGAAGACTCCCCGTGTAGTAAATGGTGACTGATGCACGTTAAATCCGTCGAGTCGCAAAGTTCTCCATGTTCCCATAACAAATCATACCNTACCTCTTTCAAATGATACTGTTGCTCGTCTAACTGGTGATATAGCTGAAGATGTACAGTGTCATCTTTTCTCGAAGTTGCGTGACAAATTGTTTTCAATACAGCTTGATGAAGCAACAGATAGTAATAAAGACGCTCATTAAATTGCCTATGTTCGAGCCTGGTTGGTAGGGCACTGGGCTCATGCTCAAGTGGTAGTGGGTTCGATACCCTCCGTCCGAAGACTCCCCGTGTAGTAAATGGTGACTGATGCACGTTAAATCCGTCGAATCGCAAAGTTCTCCATGTTCCCATAACAAATCATACCTCTGGGGGTACTGATCCAGGAGTTTCCTTGTCTTCTGGATTGGTTCAAAATGTGAAGGCTACGGAGTTGAACATTAGTAATCGTAAACCCAAAATTAGGTCGGCTGTTCAACGACGGTTACAATATAATAATTGTTATATGTCAGTAGTTGAAGAACTACTTTTCTGCAAACCAATAGAACTCAGAATGACAACGCTCGCATTATTTGCTATTTTAAATGATTTTGTGAACGAGGCAAACATAGAATGGGAAAACTGCGTCGGAATACGCACCGATGGTGCTCGTTCAGTTTCCGGAAAATTCCAAAGTATACAAGAACTTGTAAAACAGAAAACACCTTAGTGCGTCTGGACACATTGCATGATCCACAGAGAAGCTTTGGCTTCGAAAGAAATGAGTCCTGGTCTTAATATTGTGTTAACTACGGTTGTAACCGTAGTAAATTATATAAAAATGAGACACCTGAAATCGAGAATCTTTTCCGCACTTAGTGAAGACATGGGTTCAGTATATTCAGAGATACTTTTTTAATTGTGAGGAAGGATGGTTATCACGAGGGAAATTTTTGCTTCGTGTTTATGAATCAAGAGAAGAAATCACCGTTTTTTTTAGAAGAGGAAAACAGACAGGAAGCCGAGAATTTTCGCGATGGTCTATTTGCGATCCAATTGAGCTGTTGGTCTACATATTCGAAAAATTAAATCATTTGAATCTTAAAACTCCTAGGAGCAAATACACATATGTTGGATACGAGTTATAAAGTTAATGCTTTTCGTACAAAATTGGAATTGTAGAGCAGAAATTCAAAGAAAAAAACCTAATAATATTTGCAAGTGCGGATGATGGTACTAAAAGTCTGAAGAAGAACATGTAAAAGTTGTTTTTGTAACCATTGAAAATCATTTAGCCTTGCTGGGAAAGAATTTTAAAAAATATTTTCTCGCTGACGACAAACTGATTGCAAGTTACGAGTGGGTTAGGGATCCATTTCATAAGAATCCCGAAGGACTCTCAATTGCTGAGGAAGAAAAATTCATAGACTTCACACAAGTGGCGAAACCAAAAGACAATTTAGCAATAAATCACTATTTGAATTTTGGGCAGGAGTTGAGAATGATTTTTCTGCACTAAAAACAAGGGCATTTCGCATTCTATTACCATTTTCAACATCCTACCTTCATGAAACTGGATTTTCTGCTGTGGCTTCTTTGAAGACAAAATTTAGATCTCTGATAAATATAGAAACAGAACTTAGAGTGGCTATTTCAATATTAAGCTTTCCTTCAAAAAACTTTTCTCTGCAAGACAGGCCCAAGGAAGTCCCTAATAATTATTAAATTTGTTTTTAATTTAGTATGTTTTGATTAAGTAAGGTGGGTGATTCACAGGTGGCCATTGTTCCTAACATAGCCCACCCCCAAAAGAATTAATTTCATTTTTAATCACAAGATGGCCCTGCTGCATTGCAAATCTTGTATCTGAGATGCAAGTGGCTGAATTGGAAGAGATTTCCTTGAATGGCCTCCATTATATGAAGTGATTTAATTTTTTGCAGTTGTTCTAATTTCCAGGTAAGAAGATATTGTAATTTATATGTGTTTAAATTCTTTGAACTTTGAGTTATGATATGTTCTCTGAAAGTTTTTTTTTTCTTTAACCATATTAATTCCCCATTATAATTAACTTCCCAGATTAATAGTTTTAAGAATGGTGACCATAATATGCATGCTCCCAAGATGACACGACACCAGTGCCACCTTGGAAACACGTGAACCACCTTAAAAAACAAACGTGAAATCTTTAAAAGAGTTAATTATAAATCGGGATGTAGTATATATTTCTCAAAAAGGAATGATTTAATTGAATACCAATTGATTTATTTCATTTTAAGCAAATGTGGAACTTGAGTATTCTTTTCTTGAATTGGATAAACTTGTGTTGGTAGATGTCTCTATAAGTAGCTCCTCGGCTGGGTGTTTTTCAACATTTTCCTTGGAATCTTTGACGATTTTTGATGGTCTTTGATCATTCCTTGAGAGCCGGCTTGTTCATTTTAGAAGATATACTTAGGAGATAGAGATGCGTCGATGAGCCATTTGTCTTATAGAGTTGTTCTGTTGCCCCTGTCGGTGCTTAGGCACTCTTTCGACTGGTTTGGCTCTTGCAGGCTGGGTTCTACTAGAAATTCAGGAACCAACGCTTTGGGCACATTTTCCTACACAGCATAGGGCGCACGTTGCGGCAATTTTCTGCGTCTGGGTGATATTAGCAATATCACAACAATTATATAATTTGCGATGAATTCTACGATTTAGAAAGGAAAATTTTGAAATACTTAATACAAATCGAACAAGTGGTAGTTTCTCCATATTTGAATCAATAAATAAATCCCAACTTATAACATATCGGAGTTTGGGTATTTCTGTATAAAATTAAATATCTTGTTATAAAATCGTGGATCCTAGATCGTGGGAATATACATTCCATGAAAGCATATTCAGTTTGTGTATATTCAATGCATGCATGTTGTGTATGTACAATGTATGTATATATCTCTACAATATTTGCATGTCGAATGTATGTTTTGCACAAATATATCATGCATACATGGATACATACATTGAACATGCTTATGTTAGCTTCTTA